CACCAAAATCAAATTCAAAATGGATTACTCATATATAAGACCTGACACTATAAAACTACTCAAAGGAAACATTTCAGCAAGTAGGACTGGGCAAAGACTTTATGAACAGTACCTCAAAAGCACAGGCAACAAAAGAAAAAATAAATAAACAAGTGGGATTACATCAAACTGAAAAGCTTCTGCACAGCAAAAGAAAGAAAAAGTAAACAGAGCAAAAAACAACCTACAGAATGGGAGAAAATAATCACAAACTGTACATCCAACTATTAGCTTTTGTTGAGTCTTTATTTTTCCTTCACTTATGAAGGATAATTTTCTTGTATAACATCTTTTTTTTCTTTTCTTTTCTTTTCTTTTTTTTTTTTTTTTTTTTTTTTGTCTTTTTTTGTGACTGGTAAGGGGATCGCAACCCTTGGCTTGGTGTCGCCCGCACCGCACTCAGCCAGTGAGTGCACCGGCCATCCCTATGTAGGATCCGAACCTGTGGTGGGAGCACAGCTGCGCTCCCAGCACTGCACTCTACCGAGTGCGCCACGGAGTCGGCCCAACATTTTTTAAAAATGCTTTTGTTCCTTGTGCTTCTGAAGTACTGTTCATGAAGTCTTTGCCCAGACCTACATCCTGAAGTATTTCTTCTATGTTTTTTTCTAGAAGTTTTACAGTTTTGGGTCTTGCATTTATGTCTTTAATCTATTTTGAGTTTTTTATATATGGTGAGAGATAGAGATCTAGTTTCATTCTTTTGCATATGGATCTCCAATTTTCCCAGCATCATTTATTGAAGAGACTGTCCTTTCTTCAATGTATATTCTCCATTCCTTTGTCAAAAATCAGTTGGCTGTATGTACATGGCTTTATAGATCTAGTTTCATTCTTTTGCATATGGATCTCCAATTTTCCCAGCATCATTTATTGAAGAGACTGTCCTTCCTTCAATGTATATTCTCCATTCCTTTGTCAAAAATCAGTTGGCTGTATGTACATGGCTTTATTTCTAAATTCTCTATTCTGTTCCATTGATCTATGTGTCTGTTTTTGTGCCAGTACCATAGTGTTATGATTACTATAGCTTTGCAGCATATTTTGAAGTCAGGGAGCATATATACCCGTTTTGTTCTTTTTGCTCATAATTGCTTTAGCTATTTGACTTCTCTTGTTGTTCTGTATAAATTTTTTTGAACTTTTTCCTATTTCTGTGAAGTATATCATTGGTAGTTTGATGGGGATTGCATTGGATCTGTTGATCACTTCAGGTACTATGGCCATTTTGACAATACTGATTCTTCTGATCCATGAGCATAGGATGTCTTTCAATTTTTTTTGTATCTTTAATTTCTTTAATCATTGTTTTATAGTTTTCCTTGTAGAGATCTTTCACCTCCTCGGTTAAATTTACTTCAAGGTATTTTATATTTGTGTTGTTGCTATTGTAAGTGAGATCGCTTTCTTGATTTCTTTTTCTGCTAGTTCATTGTTGTTGTACAGAAATGCTACTGATTTTAATATGTTGGTTTTGTGTCCTGAAACTTTACTGAATTTGCTTATCAGGTCTAGGAGTTTTTGGTAAAGTCTTTAGGTTTCTCTAGATATAAAATCATGTCATCTGCAAAAAGGGACTTTCTCCATTCCAATTTGGATACTGTTTCTTTCTTTCTCTTGCTTATTTGGTCTGGCTAGGACTTCCAGTACTATGTTGAATAGAAGTGCTGAGAGTGGGCATCTGTGTCTTGTTCCAGTTCTTAGGGGGAAAGCTTTCAGCTTTTTTCTGTTAAGTATGATGTTAGCGGTGCGTTTGTCATATATAGCCTTTATGTATTAAAACACTTTCCTGCTATACCTAATTTGTTGAGTCTTTGTCATGAAGGAATGTCAAATTTTATCAATTTCTTTTTCCACATTTATCAAGATGATTATATTTTTTCTTTCATTCTGTTGGTGTGATGTAGTACATTTATTGAATTATGTATCTTCAACCATCCTTGCATCACTGGGATAAATCCCACTTGATCATGGTGTATAATCCCTTTGATGTGCTGTTGGATTCAGTTTGGTAGTATTTTATTAAGGATTTTTGCATCTGTGTTCATTAGGGATATTGACCAGTAGTTTTCTTTCTGGTTGTATCCTTGCCTGGTTTTGATATCAGGGTTGGTGCAGCTCCTTCTGGGACTGTTGGCAAGGCTTCTATGAAGGACTATTTAGGAAGGAACCACTTGACTGCTTCTCCAGGAGGGGCACATGCAGTTTATTTCTACTGGCCAGAGGGCATATTCATTAGGGTAGAGACCCATGAGCTATTTTTCCAGGTTGGGGGCTTGAGCACATACAACTCAGTCAGCTTGGAAGTTGAGTGGTTATGAGGAATGAGGGGTTGTCTGCCTGAGGAGGGTCTGCCTTTCTGATCTCTGGCCAGGGTTATGGAGGCATGTCAGTTCAGCAGGACTAGGGTTGGCTTTCAGACTGCAGAACTGGAGTCACAGTTGCTGTGAGCCCAGGCTTCAAGCTCCAGGGACTAGGGCATTGTAGCCTCTCCTGTACATGCACAGAGCGGGGCAGACCCTTAAGGCTGGAGAAGTGTGTGGCTACTGGCCCCAGGGCAGGGCATGCTCTGTTTTCAAGATGGCACTGTCCTGCATCAGCTTGGTTCATAAGGTGGGGGTGGGGGGCGCACAGTTTGTACTAGTGTTCTAGAGCAATGCAGTGCATATACTCTAGATAGTTCCCCATACTTGGGTCTGACCTTGTCCTGCCAAAGGATCTGCCAGCCTCTGTGGTAAAGATGGGGGTTAGTTTGTGTCCTTGGCCTGACTACTGACTTCAAGGAAAAATTCCTCCTCTGCTGATCCTGATGTCAGAAACATGGTAGCTGAGGCCATGAGCCTCTCTCTCCTCCCTATGCCACCATGCTAGGCTTTCATGATCCACAGGATCTCAACACTCTCCTGCTGCACTTCTACAGTCTCCCACAGATGCTCCCATCAGTATTTAGCTGTTAGCTGCTCTGGTCCTTTTCCGTGGGAGAAATTTACCTTGGGCACCTCTAGGCCATCGACATCCTTTTCCACTCTATTCATTCTTTTTTCTTCTTAAATTTCAGTTTGGAAAGTTTCCATTGATGTATCTTCAACTTCACTGATTCTTTCCTTGGCCAAATCCAGTTCAGTGTTGAGCCCATCAAAGGCTTTAATTTCTTTCTTTCTTTTTTTTTTTTTGTCTTTTTCCGTGTCCGGCAACGGGACCGCAACCCTCAGTGTTGCTCCCGCGCCTCGCTCAGCCAGTGAGCGGAAACCGGTCTGTATGTGGGATCCAAACCCTCGGGCGGGAGCGCCGCCGCGCTTCCCAAGCGGCGCACTATCCAGTGCGCCACCGGACCGGCCAAAGGCTTTAATTTCCATCGTAGTGTTTTCATATTTCTAGCAATTCAATTCTTAGTTTCCACCTCTCTGCTTATATTACCCATCTGTTCTTGCATATTGTCTACTTTATCCATTACAGTCCTTAGCATGTGTTTTAAATTTGTCTGACGATTTTTTTTTTTTTAAAGGTAACTGGTAAGGGGATCTTAACCCTTGACTTGGTGTTGTCAGCACCACGCTCTCCCAAGTGAGCCAACTGGCCATCCCTATATAGGGATCCGAACCCATGGCCTTGGTGTCATCAGCACCACACTTGCCCAAGTGAGCCAAGGGCTGGCCCTTGTCTGACAATTCTAACGCCCCTGCCATATCTTAGTCTGCTTCTGATGATTAATATATTTCTTCAGATTGTTTTTCCTTACATGTCTCAATTTTTTGGTTAAAAGCCAGACACAATGTATCAAGAAATTAAGTGATTAGTATGTGGTTTTATGTTAATCTGGGTAGGAGTTGGGCTGTGTTTAATGTTTGCTGTAGCTCTAAGTGCCAAGGGCTTCAGTTTGCTTATTTTCTACTGTTGTTTTGGGGTTTCCCTAAGGATTCCTTCTTAGAATCTCTGCCCGGCAGCTCTCATAGTCATAACCAACTATTATTATATTGAAAGCCTGTTGATGTGGTGGTAAGGTATTTGAGAAACACTCTGTAATCTTAAAATTATCTCTATTTTTCAGTTGGCCTGAATACCTTGGCTGGTACCTTCAGAAGTGGCTTTTTGTTTTCTTCCTCACGTAAGATTAAAGTAGGCTGGAATTGTCTACCCTTTCCCTAGATCAGATAAGGCTCTAATAGCTTCCCTTAAGTGGAAAGCCTTTGTTACAGTAAATGATCTGGTGTATTTTGAAACAGCTACTCCCACCTCCACTGTATTTCAAAATAGTTTGTTCCCCTTTCTCTGTCTTGCTGGAAACAAAAGAGGCTCCTGATCTTAACCAGGAGAAACTGTTAGGGTTCCTGGGGGTAAACCTAGAAAGTGTAGGGTCTCCCTTAAGACTGGCCCTCAGGAATTTTTAACTCAAGCTAGTCCACATTCAGCCTCCAGCAATATGACAGCTACCATTTTAGTTTTCCTACCACTTACTGGCTGCAGCAGCTTCTGCTCCTAGTAAGTAAGCTGATCTCAACTGCGATTCTCTATGTTTGTCTGTCTGTCCAGTTTTGGGGTGATAACTTGTGCTGGGACTGCAATTCTTTGAAAGATGTAAGGAAAGCTGTTGATTTTCATGTTCAGCTTTTTTTGCTGTTGTAAAAACAGGTATAATAACTTCCAAGTTCTTTACATGTAAGAGCTGAAACTTGAGGTCAACACATATTTTTATTTTTTAAGTCCTGTCCCCCAGTTTTTCTCTTTAAAGTGCACCTGAAATAACCAACTGAGCATCCTTCCCTGACTTCTCTCTGCTAAATGAAGAGCTCCTCCCTTTGTTCTTTAGTACTTGGTGCAACTGCAAGTATTACTCTTACTGTCTCTTGGTTCTGTGACTCTTTGAATGCCCGGAGAAAAGGCATTATGACTTCCCTTCATATTTCTAGCTTATGGTATAAATCAATGTCTGTTCAAGTGAAGGAAAAAGGAACAAAGCACTCTTTGCTAATTAAAAACAAAATACTACTTTTATTTGGCTCATTTCTCCATTTATTAGAATAAACACATTTGGAGAGGCACAAAGCGCTTAAGTTTTACATGACTACAAAGTTATCACACATCCCAAACTTTTTAGCCACAGATATTTTACCTTCTCCATTTAAAGAAAAAGCTTTCAAAACATCTGAGTTGCTTCATACACAGAGACCCTGAATATATGGGCGCTACATAGTTTTAAATGCTTGTACTTCCTGTTTTAATAATTTTGTCTTTAAATGGAATCCAGCATAAAAGGAACTGAAATGTATAAGATCATGATGCAAATGCTTTGAAGAGATAGTGAAATTAATCTGCACAACACGAAAAAAGATGTGGTGTGCACAGAAGTTCTACAAGGATTCACTGAGCCATCTGGGCTTCCATGGCTTGTGCTGTCCATTCTGGTGCTGTTTGACTAATTTTCTCCAAAAGGTTATTCACTTGGAAACAAAGTGATTGGATCTGTTTGTCCCACGTTGGCAGGGCTTCTCGTGCTTAAAAAAAAAAAAAAAAGAATGTACAAAACTGAAATTACTCCTTTGTATTCAGAGCAAAGAAGATAAATACAATCGTGATAATTTTTAAAGTTATTCCGAAATCTTGGTTATCAAAATTAAGCTCATAGTTAAGAAATCACTTGCACAAAGTATAAAACAAACAAAAAATACACTCATATACACGGATACATGTTATTACTATTATTTCTCATGAAAATAAAATCAACCAACTGAACAACCTCAACCACACCACCATCACAAAAAGAGACAGGCTCACTGAAGCTGTTTTTTCATTACCAATGTTTACTGATTCATAAGACACTATCACCTGCTGGAGAAAGCAAGTCTATTTATACATTCGAGGCTGTCTCTACTTGACTCTGAAGGAGAAATACTATATCATTTACACCAAAAACAACAAAAAAGTCATCTTGAATCCATCAGGTTTTTCTTTATACCAGCGATCTATAATCAGAAATGAAAAATTGGGAAGAACATCCCATTCAAAACAGCACAAAATTTACAAAAAAAGTCACAGATTTAATGGAAAAAAACAAACTATAAAATATGAATAAATAACAAAGTAACTTGAATAGACACAAATCATAATCCCAGATAAAAATATGCAAGATCATTAAATTATCAGTCTTTCCTTCTTAATACATAAATTTTTTTAAATTCCAAAGACAATCTTCTTTTTTCTATTTTATTTTCTAGCCAGGACAAAATTATTAAAGTTAATATGGAAGAACTGGTGTTTGAGAAGAGCCAAGATAATTCTGAAGATTAAAAACAATGGCAAAATTGTGGTATATCGGGGCCGGCCCGTGGCTCACTCGGGAGAGTGCGGTGCTGGTAACACCAAGGCCATGGGTTCGGATCCCATATAGGGATGGCCGGTTGGCTCACTGGCTGAGCATGGTGCTGACAACACCAAGTCAAGGGTTAAGATCCCCTTACCTGTCATCTTTAAAAAAAATTTTTTTAAAAAATTGTGGTATATCCACACAATGGAATACCATTCAGCCTTAAAAGGGAATGAAGTACTGATTACATGTTATAACATGGATGAAACTTGAAAATACCATGCTGAGTGAAAGAAGCCAAAAAGTTACGTACTGTAACTTTGGGGAGATGAAAATGTTTTGGAACTAGAAAGAGATGGAGACTGCACAACATTGTGAATAAGCCACAGAACTGCTTACTTTAAAATGGTTAACTTTATGTTATGTGCATTTCAATTCAATTAAATAATTAGTAGTAGGGGGGCATAAGTTGCTTTATCTACAGGAAAATTTACTATAAATTTGTTTATGACCATATTGTTACACATCAGTGGAACCAAATAGAGTACAGAAATAGATCCAAACGTATATGTGGAACCTAACATATGTCAAAGACACAATGCAATCAGAAAGAATGTTTTATTTAATAAATGATATTTGCATAAGGCTATTCATCTAGAAAAATACTAGACCACACCCTAAAATTATACACAAAAATGAATTAAAGATGGATTATATTTCTAAACATAAAATAATAAATAAAACTATTAGAAGAAATTTTAGGAAAATACTAGTTTTACCCCAAAGTAGAGGAGTATTTCTTAATCAATACAGAAAATTCAAAGCCATAAACTAAAAAATTGACATATTTG